ATTTAAAAGGTTCCTTGCTCAATTATCAGGTGTTACGGCAAGTTAGATTGCAAGTTTATGAGGTTTGGCATGATGTCCAATAGGCTGATCTTCCAAAAATTATGTATGTGCATCAGTTGAAATGGTTCTTATAAAAGGATCAGAAATAATTAACACCATTATTGATGCCTCCTCCTGATATTCCTCCAAATTTTAACCCGTCCACTATAGAACTTTAATTGTCTTCTATGATTCTGAAAAGAGGGGATGATGTGAGGTCCAAATGTATGACTACAATGCTATATATTACTATTAGCGTAGTAGGATTTTGATAACTATTAGAATGATTTCAATCCAAACCACTCACTCTTGTATATAAACTAGAGTTTTTAAGCTAATTGATATGCACATTTTTGTATTTCATGCACTCACAAAAGTAAGTTAAATAGTTTTCAATATAAAATATATAATGTGAGAGTGTATAAATAATAACAACTCAAATACTTAGTTCTCTGTTAAAATTAATATTTTAAAAAAAATGTAGCTTTTAAATAGTGCAGTTGTAATTAAAGGTCCCAGGTACTTTGATCCACGGCTTCCTTTTTGGCAACTTCTACTGAAACAGCCGGAACAGGTGATTGACTAATCTTTTCCTCATGATTTCCTTGACTTACGGCCAGCAAGATCCTTGCTAGTACGTTGGTTCGTCACAGAACTTTCTATGGCCCTCCTAAGATCCAAAATCGCCATGCCCACATCCCCAAGCGGACACTTGACACATACAAAGTGCCAATAAGTCTCTATAAGGTCAATACATTTCTTGCGCAATGTTAGAGATCCCCTGCCCTTGATGAAGTTGACGACCTCCTGGTTGGATCTTGGATTGGGAGGCCAGATCCCCTGTGAGGCGATCATAATCCTCGAGACTGATGTCGTACACGTCTGGAACCACGCTGATCAAAAGGTCCATGGAACTGGAGCTTTGCTTGAACAGGAAATACCCAAAACCCTTGAAAGCATCGCACTTGTGGAAAACCGGGAAGATGCCATCGCTGATCGATTGCTCCTCTTGAAAATCCCCGATCTCTTCCACTCCACCGCAGGACCTCGACATGACACAGCGAAACTCGCTCGCGTTTGCCACCACCACCCTGTCCGGAAACACCAGGCAAACCAGTGCCGTACAGCCGCCCACCTTGAGATGATCATCGTCAACCCAAGTCCCTTTGAACCCTCCCGAGAGATCGTGATCTTCTCGATCCAGCCGAGTTAATTCCCTTTGTCCCTTTCGAGTTTTCATCAAAGCCTCAAACCTCTCAAACGCATCATGCAAGTCCTTGCGGATTCGTAAAGCTTTCGCAGCTCGCCATGGAAGTATCTCGTGCAAAAGCGTACGTAAGCCTTTTCTCCTTCATAAGCCAAGAAGCCGCACACCAATCTCGAATGACGACCGAATCAATCACGCGACTTTGATCAGTAGCATTATCAGACCTAACTGAAAGCTTTATATTCACCTAAGCGCCACCTTTCCTTTAACGTAAAATTTACAGTTTTCGCTAGCTTTTGTCTTTCTCTGCATGAAGATCATAGCGTCACCTGAGGCTATCTCCATGGAGGCAGCTGTGAGCAAAGAAAAAACAAAAAAAAAAGAAAAGCGTGCCTGTGTGTTAATAGTAGAAGTTTGGACGTGGTTGGCGATTTTGTTTCCGTTTGCGTTTTTTTTCATACGGGCTTCTTGATTTTTTCGTCGTTTAGAACTTACTCCTTTGTCTCCCCAGATCGGGCTCCTTCTGGAATTTGGCGGCGAGCGCGACCGTCTCTCCAAGTATGGCGATGGCGATCGGCTTATAAACAACGTAAGCTGGCTTCGCATCTGGTAATCCTCCTCGCTGGTTAGTGGAAGAGGACCAGTGCTTGTGGATCTCAACCTGTGTAAGACCTCCACAAAAAAGTTTTAGAATGTGGAGGAAACATCCTCGATCAAGTACCTGTTCCATGGAGGCACCAAGTATCTCTTGGACAAAGGATTGTGGAGAACCAGATCGCGGAGAGTGAGCGCCGAGATCACGGGCGAGTCTGTAATAGATACACACAAACCAGTCGATATCGTGTTTGTAATCGGAATTGGATTACCTGGATACTCCTCTACGAAGCTCAAGCTGGTTCGTGTGTTGAGACTATACCTGCAAGGGGTTAAGGGAACAGTTGTTGCCTCTTGCGCAAGAAAGTTTTCTTACTTGGATGCTCTTCGTCCCACAAGCGCTCGGATGAAAGTGTTCTCGCCAAGTTCTAGCATCTTGTGCCTCATGAGAGCGTTCTGCTTTCTCAAACGAGCAATCTCAACGTCCTTCTTCTGGCCACCTGCAGGCATGTAACTTAGAATCCATCCAAAAAAAGAGCATTTACTGCGTTTACTTCTCTTCCTTGCTTTACGTTATCGTGAGACTCTGATGTGGTGGATGATGACAATACCGGCCCTCAAGGTATTTTGATAGGCACGAGCTTTCATGGGATCAACACGTAAAATTAAGTAAAACTGCTGCATAGAACCTGCCTGCACGAAAAATCGAGAAGATGGTCTCGTTATGACACCGTCGAGAAAAAAGAGAAGAAAATCAAAACTTACAAATTTAGTCTCGCCGTCTACTCGCATTAGTGTCCAAAACAGCCCAGTCTCGGGCCATTTCAAATTACAATCCCCGAGAACTATTTCGATCATACTTACTATCCTCCTCCTGCGAGAAAATCGACAAAAAAAAAATCAATGTCCCTGGCTAAAGAGAAGCTTACACTTGTGAAGGAAACAAACAACAACATATCGTCGAAAGACAGTTAGCAAAGGCGCTTCCAGACCAGCTGCACAAGAAAGAAGTTCTTACCATAAAAACAAAAACACTTTCACGTACCTGGAAAGAATCTGATTCACCATTTTGATTGTATCTAGATACTCCTCGTCGCTAACATACTCTTCGAGCCTCGACGTCTTATACAAATCTGCCGGATCAAACGCTCCGTTGGTGCCAGAGCAGCAGGCTGCAGGATAAATTCGTCAGATACGAACGAAATAAAAGGAAAAAAGTATGCAACTTACTACCACCAGCAGCTACGAACTGGCACGCAATAACAATGGGGTCCTGTTCCTCATAATAGCTTGACGCTTGCAACAGGTCGGCTTTAAGCTTCTTAGGACCGTCCTTGGAACCGAACTTTTCCACCAGTTCTCGCAACACATAGGAAGGATGGACGTACTCGATCTCCGACATGCACACCGGACACCTGAAAAAAAAAAGTTTTGACGTTTAAGAAGCATGAGAAAGACATGACAACAAAAATGAAACACTTACAGCTTCGAGCGGCTCATCTTTCTCCGTAGGCAGGAGTGACAAAACGCATGCCCGCAGTCGATTTCCACGGCGTACTTGAGCAGCTTGTGGCAGATTGAGCAGTCCAGGAAACTTATGGGCTTCTCCTGACGCTTTTGAAGCTCCAGCTTCTCTTTCTGCTCCCTCGTCAACTTTCCTCTCCTTGCCTTCTCCTTTTGCTTCTTCTTATCTTCATGTTCCAGCTTTCCCTTGGCCTTCTTTGCTTCTTCCTTGGCCTCCCTCTGCTGGAACCATTGCTCCCTATGCCTCTCGACAGCCTTATTCAACTCGTTCTTCCTTTCCTCGGAGAGTCCCCGCTTCTTCTTGCTTTTCTTCCCTGCTGGACGCTTGCGAGAAAATAAAGGAAAGCAAAGCCATCCGCCGGACTTAGCTTTCTTCTGCTTCGGAACTTTTTTCTTCACGGGCTTCTCGGGCTTCTTAACTTCCAGCTTAACTTCAGGCTTTTTCTCGGGCTTCTCAGGCTTCTTCTCGGGCATTTCAGGTTTCTTTTGCTTCTTGTCCTTCACACTCCCCACACTCGACGCCTCGGACCTCGCAGGACTTGGAGTGGTCGGTCTACTCGTTGGTCGACTTGGAGGCCGGCTACTCGCTCTACTACTCCCTCTACTACTCGCCTTGCTACTTCCTTTGCTGCTATCACTTTCTACAGGCTTCTGGATCTTCACTTCCGGAGGCTTTTGCTTTTGCTTTTGCTTCCGCGGCTTCTTGGAGGACGAGAAGAAAGGCCAACACGAGCGTGGCTTTCCCGGTGGCCTTGGAGCCTTCGGAGCCTTCGGGGCCCTCGGGGCCTTCGGAGCCTTCGGGGCCCTCGGGGCCTTCGGAGCCTTTGGAGCCTTGACTTTCTGAGGCTTTGGAGACGGTGGTGGTGACTTGGGCCTGTCTTGCTTTGGTAACTTTTCTCTTTTCTTCTTGCCTGCTTTTGGAGACGACGGACCCGAGCCAAAGCCACACAATCCCAGACCAGATGAGCGAACGTCCGCCGGCTCGGACCGAGAAGGGGCTGCCGGCATGTTGTGCTTACCCTGGTACAAAGGATTGTCCTTGATCTCAAACCTCCGAAATAGCGGATTCCGAATCATACAGGAACGTCCTACGCTGTTGAAGACTGCCCGGATCCAAAGGTAGAAACCAGCTGCTCCTTTCAAGTCAGCCCGACCCTCGAGAGTTTTCCCTGAAAGAAAAAACCCGAAGAACTCATAAGTTTCAGCAAGAAAAACTATGATCGTTCTAATGTCTAATGGAGAAAACGAGCTCGAGAGCTCGAGAAAAAAGAAAATCCTAAATGTAGCCCACCGTCTAGTTGTGCCCGTCGAGTTACAAGATCCGGCGCATGGCTACACTCGCATTCGCAGCGTACGAGGTGCAACATAGGGCCCTACCATCATCGTACCTCGCGCCTCGGCCGGATCGAAGAATGCGGGAAGATCGCGCTCTCTACGCCATCGCCGCGCTGCCACTGCCGCCGCCGCCTACGCCATCGCCGCCGGGCGCCCAGCATTGGGGCGAAGCGTCACTTCCGCCCTCACGCTTCAGCTGAAAGAACTTTTAGGGCTCCTAAGGTCACTTCCTTTCCCGTTTACATGTCATCGTAGCAAATAACACGTCAGCTTGTTTACCTTTACATGGTAGCACACGTCAGACAGAACATCCAATCACAAGTTGACACGTCACTTTTATGTTCATCACAATGTCATAACCGCGTTCTTCCACTTCTACTTGGATTGTTCCTCCGGAGAGGAGGAACTGGGCCTCTCCTTCTTCTTGTAAGCGTCTCCCAGCCTCGCCGCTAGCCTCTCCCGCCGCGCGTTGCGCTTCTCCTGGAGCAACTGCCGCTTCTTCTTGTCCGCCTCGTTCATCGCCGCGACAACCTTGGCGGCCTCGTCCTTGGACATGAGCTGCGGCCGCGGCGGCGCTGGGAAAATCCCCACTTTCCACAGCAAATGCTGGACGATCTCGGTGGGCTGCGCTCCAACCGAGATCCAATACCTGGAAACCAAACAGCGATCGAGCCCTGGAGAAATCTAGCGCCATTCTTACTTGATCCTATCGATTTTCATCCCAATGCGCTTGAGCCCATCTTGCCCTGGAGAAGATCATCGCTGGAGACACTCACAGAGACGGAAATCCAGTACCTGGCAAGGGATTGTAGTAGCCCAGGACCTCGACATGCCTCCCATTGCGCGGGGAGCGCGCATCGGCGGCGTAGATGCGGTAGAATGGGAGATTGCGGCCCCCAAATCTCGCGAGCCTCAGCCTCACCACCATTGCCCTAGCTCCAAGGGTTTTTAGGGTTTTTAGACTTGGAGGAAGGGGAAGAGATGCGAGCGCCATGAGCTTCTTGCTGCGGAGCTCCTTCCAGGCATCGCAGGAGCAGCCTCCGGCAGATGCCAAGCAGGAATTTCGCGGCGGCGTCACGAATCTCGGCCTCGAGCAGCAGATCCAGGCTCCGGGTGATCTCAAGGAGGCAATGCAAGCGAGGCCGAGGACGCGGATCCCAGTCCAGGGCCACGCGGATGTATCGAGCAACGAGGGATCCGTGCTTGTTCCTGGAAGTAAGCTGTTCATGGTCATGGATTATCCTCGCTCACTTTTCTTTGCAGAGGAGCTTCCGAATGAATGGAACGCGGCACCAGATTTGACGCATCTCAGCCATTTGGATCGTGGATTCGTTTTTCCTGGTGAGTGTTTCTTGATTTCCTTCGCTAGAGCTTGAGAAATTCTTTGCTTTGTAGGTGAACAAATCAAAATCCTTGTCACGGTCTCCTCTCGCGACCTCACAGTTCCCGAGATTATCACTCCCTTCAAGGTTGCTGCGGTGATCAACAAGAACGCTTTGCTCAAAGCCAATCCCGTCGCTGGCGAGGTTCTCGAATCGAATGCCGGCGAATCACTTCGCGAGGAATGGCACAAGAAGAAGAGCGCGCAGCTCCTCGAAAGCTTCCAAAGGTCCCATTTTTACGTGAGCATTATCAACGAGAACAAGGTGGACGAGTCCGACCAGCACGACGAAGCTGAGAGTGTGGTTCCAGTAGTGGTGGAAAGAGATGGTTTCGACCCTGTTGCAGCTGGAGGAATCGCGAGACGAGCCATCACCTCTTGCGCTCTTGCGAACGGAGACATTGTGGTATGCACCGAACTTTCGACTCAATTCTTTTCGAAATTGCTCATTGATAAGATGGCAGGGTACAGGTTATGCTGGAAGTGACAGTGGTGGTTCCACGCTTGATCACGCACGAGGCGGTCCTCGAGGTCCTACAATACGAGCAACACAGCTCTCCCATGTCGGCTTCCAAGACGATTCCCAAGGACTTGGATCCAGCGCAGGATCTTTTGCACTGGCTGCTGCCTCTGGATAGGAACGCGTTCACGACGCAGCAATCGTCCGCTGTCCCGGCAGCAAACGCTGCCAGTGCTACGCAGAGGCTTTCATTCGGAGCTGCCAACTCAACGCTTTTCTCGTTCGGTCACTTGAGATCGTCTTCGGCTGGTTCTTTGCCTCCAGTTGCTCCGGCCGCAGCTCCTGCGGCAGTTCCACCGTATCCACCATCGGCACTAAACACTGCTCCAGGGGAATGGAACAAGCTGTATCCGGAGAAAGATCTCGGCTCCGAAGAAGTTGGAAGCGAAGGATTGCTCTCTTTCCGGGGTGTACCGCTGGAACCTCAGCGCTTTTCCGCTCACTGTGGATTGGAAGGCCTTTACGTACCTGGAAAACGATGGTGCAAGAAGATATCCGTCGTACAACCTTTGCGGATCGATTCATACTCCGCAGATTGCAACGCGGAAGATCTCATTTGCGTCCTTATTGAGGTTCGTTTTTAGTTTGAACTTTCGTTCTCATTTGCCTCCCTTTTTTTTCCTGCAGAACGTTCTTCCTTCTGACATGTCCGATGTCTGTATTTATATTGATTCAATTAGCATCATATGCCAAGCGACTAGCCCCGGTGCAGTTTCACAGCCAATTCCTGTTTCATGCGTGGAAACTGGCGAAGATGACAAACTCCCAAATCTATGTCTCAGGTTTGAATGTTTTACTTGTTTAGTCTCTCTCATGGAAATACTCCTTTTTGCAGAACCGGAGAACAACATTCATTTATTTTGAGACCCACGAGTTCGCTACTGAAGGTAGAAAGTTCTGGCAAACACAGTTATTCTACTCCTCGACAAGCAAAAGAAGCATCTGATGGCGGGAGTTATGCAGTTCTAGTGGCCTGTCATTGTAGTCACACTCGTAAGTTCTAGTTATGGCGTTCGATCTTAGCATTAACTTGTTATCTGATGCCAGACTCGAGATTTTATTTGAAACACTCGCTGAAATGGAAACCACGACCCGCGAGGGACCTTCTTGTTTCAGTCTCGCTGGAGAGCAGCACGCCAACTGGAGTTCCAAGTGAAGCTCTCCCCCAGCTCAAGTCACAGGTAGACAGTTTCAAGTTATTTGCCTTCACTGGAACTTTTCTCCAGGTCGTGACAGTCCAAGCCACAAACCTTACATCTAGAGAACTTGACTTGACACTTTTAGCTCCAAGCACGTTGGCATGCGCACCAGTATCAGTGATTCCAGTAACAACAAACGCAGCCAAGAAATCACCCGTAGGGAACTCGCACAGCTTCCGTGAAGAACAAGAGAAAGCTCGGAAGAATTTTAGATCCATGTCAATGCCTCCTGGACGAGAAAAACCGAAGGTCAAAGAAGCAGACCAAGCGAAAGAAGCCGAAGAGTCGTCAAAGAGAACGAGAGAGAGAAGAGTTTCCGCTGCTGAGAAAGTAGCGGAGAACAGCCCTGCAAGGACTCATTTGTGGCTGCAAAGTACTGTTCCACTCGGGTAAGTTTCTCTCGATGATCTTTCAAGCTTATCTCGTGTTTCTCTTTGGATTCTTTGTCTCACGAGAGTGAGCTTTTGATACAGGCGACTTCCTGCGCATTCAACCACGGTTGTGAAGTGCGATTTGCTCCCGCTCGCCGATGGGATCATCACTCTGGACACTCTTCATTTGGCCTCAAAGGATCGCGGTAAGCTTCCAAGTTTTCTTTTTGCTTCGTGCGTGGAGGGAGTTCTTAGACTCTTGTTCTTTCTTTTTTTCCAGAGACATTGTTTGTTCCTATCAATCCTCTCCAGATACATTCATCGTCGGGAATTTCCAAGTAACTTAAAATTCTATTAGTTCATGTTTAAACTAATAAACGAACCCGGCTGTGCCCAACGGTTGCGATTGTGCCATGTTGTATCCAACGGTTGGGATTAATTATACATGGAAGCGCCTCTCTCGAATACAAAGAACGCACAGGAGCTCCAAGGGACTTCTAGGGCTTCTCTCGCGGCGCTTCTTCGCAGGTATGGCGATGCCGGGAGCCTCTCGCGTGTCCGGCGGCTCCACTCACGCATCCGCGACGACGTATTCCTCTGCAATCTCCTCGTCCAGGCGTATAGCAAGTGCCGATCAATCGACGACGCCCGGCGCTGCTTCGACGCCATCGCTGCCAAGAACGTCGTCTACCCTGATGATCGCGGCGTATGGCCAGAATGGGGATTACAGGGCAGCCCTGCGATTGTTTTGGGAGATGAATTTGCAGGGCGTGAGGTCGGACAGGGTCGTGTTTGTGGAGATTTTGAGCGTTTGCGCCAAGACTGGGGATCTAGCCACGGGAATTTCGATCCATCTCCAGATTTTGGGATCGGGGATCTTGCACTGCGACGTAGTCCTGCGCACAGCGATCGTCACCATGTATGGGAAGTGTGGAGATGTAGAAGCTGCCAAGGCCGCGTTTGATGATATCGAGCAGCCGAATAACTACTCGTGGAATTCTCTCATCGCAGCGTATGGCCAGAAGGGGCATTGCAAGGAAGCGTTGGAAACTTTCCAGCGGATGGATAGGCCGGATAAGTATACGTTCTTGAGCGTTCTTGGTGCTTGCTGCCATGCCGAAGAAGCTCAAGAAATCCACGCTCGGGTGGTCTCCTGCGGGCTAGAAATGGACGTGATGGTGGCGACTCAGCTCATCAAGTGTGGAAGAGTTGCAGAGGCCCGCCGTGTGTTTGAGAAAGTTTGCTGGGAAGACGCTGTTGGCTGGAACTCCATGCTCGCTGCTTATGCCCAGAACGGGCTTCCAGATCAAGCGCTGGCTCTCTACTGGGCTCTGAATCAGGCTGGAGTTTCTCCCGATGAAGCGACCTTTGTGAGCCTTTTGGACGCCGCCGCTGCTTTGTGCGCGCTCAAGGTGGTGTTGGAGATCCATGCACAGGTTTCTTCGCGGAGGATTCAGTCTCACATCGTCGACACGGCTCTCGTTTTTGCTTATGGAAAATGCGGCCGCCCAATGGACTCGAGAAAGGTGTTTGACAGCACCAACGGAGAAGTAGTGACACATTGGAATGCTATGATCGAGGCCTACTCGCAAAACGACATGGAACGCGAAGCCATCCAACTTTTCAAGTATATGGACCTGAAAGGAATCAAGCAAGATGAAGTCAGCTTTATAAACGTCATCAGTGCCTGTTCTACTCTCGAGGATCTGGCGGAAGGTGAAAGGCTGCACCAGAGGATTGTCGACATCTATCACAAACAAGATCGAGTACTGTGAACCGCACTGATCAACCTTTACGGCAAGTGCGGCAACTTGGCTGAGGCTCGGTCGCTCCTAGACTCGATGCCATCCAAAGACGTTGTGTCCTGGAACACGATGATAACGTCCTACGCCAGGCACGGCCACTCACGGCCACTCGAAAGCAGCACTTGAACTGTTCGAGACAATGGTGTCATCGAGCTTGCGGCCGAGCTCGGTTACTTACGTTGCGGTGCTCGGTGCGTGCTCGGATTCGGGTGCCTTGACCGCTGGGAGGAGAATCCACGAACACATTCTAGCGAGCAAGGCAGAGTGGGAGCTTCCAGTCGGCAACGCTCTCATTAGCATGTACGGGAAGTGTGGAAGCGTGGAGGATGCAAGGCTGGTCTTCACGGCGATGAGAGAAACGAGCTTGTTCTCGTGGAACAGCATGCTGGCCGCGTACACCCAGAACCATCAAGGCAGCGCATCCGAAGCGTTTGATCTCGCGAGAGAAATGGTCCTCCACGGCATCAAGCCCAACGAAGCAACTTTCGTCAGCATTCTCTACGCTTGCAGCCATGCAGGCCGGTTTGACGAAGCTTACATCCAGTTCGTCGCCATGGAAAGCGACCACGGTGTGAGGCCGGTTGCCGAGCACTATGGCTGCATGGTGGATCTGTTTGGGAGGCTGGGATGGCTGGCGGAGGCCGAGCACGCCGCCAAGAATGCGCCGAAGGGTGGCGATATTGTCTCGTGGATGAGTGTTTTGGGAGCTTGTAAGATCCACAGCGACGATGTTCGAGCCAAGCAAGCGGCAGAGAAAGTCCTCCAGGTTTCCAGAGGTAGTCTTTCTATAAACAACTAGCTCTGAAGAGAGGTAAGTTTCTTAACTGCACTTTTTAACTCGTGCTGACACGAAACTCTTGTTTTTCAGGGAAAAACAAACGAAGCCGCCTCTTCCCCCTTTCTCTCTCTCTCTCTCTCTCTCTCGCTCTCGCTCCGGAATGGGTACCAAAGTGGATGCGCTTGCTTCTTCAAAGCTCAAGATTGAAGTTGGCAAACAACTATGGTTGGCGGTCCCGATGATCGGTGTGAACCTTGTGCAGTTCAGCCGGACTATAGTGTCCGTAATGTTCGTGGGTCATTTGGGGGAGCTCGAGCTTTCCAGCGCTTCCATCGCCTCTTCCTTCTGCGTCGTCACTGGCTACAGTCTCCTGGTAAGCTTGTTTCCATCTTTCCCCCCCAACCAAGCCGAAGTGTTTTGGGCTCTTTTTATTCAGATGGGACTTGGAAGCGCTCTGGAAACACTGTGTGGACAGGCTTATGGTGCCAAGCAGTACCACTTGCTGGGAGTGTACATGCAGCGAGCAATGATCCTCCTCAACATCGTTTGCTTGCCAATCGCGGTGATGTGGTATAACATGGAGCACGTACTGGTCTTCTTCAAGCAGGACCCTGATATATCCATGAAAGCTGGGATATATGCTCGGTACATGATCCCTGGTTTGTTCGCACTGGCTTTCCTTCAGCCGCTGGTGAAGTTTTTGCAGTCGCAGAGCAAAGTCCTTCCCATGTTTCTGTGCTCGGCGGCGGCATCCATCGTCCACGCGCTGCTCTGCTGGCTCTTCATCTTCAAGTTGGGAATGGGAAACGCCGGAGCAGCAGTGACCGTAAGCTTCTCTTACTGGCTTAATGCTGTTCTCCTGGTGGCTGTTGTTGTAATGACGCCTTCGGCCAGAGAGTGCTGGCATGGATTCTCCGCGCAGGCTTTCGAGGGCTTCATCGAGTTTCTCAAGCTCGCCATCCCGTCGGCAGTCATGGTCTGGTAAGTCTACTGTTTTCAAATGACCCGGACTGATATTTCTTTTTTTGTGCTGTAGCTTTGAGTGGTGGTCATTTGAAGCTCTGGTCCTCCTGTCCGGGCTACTGCCAAATCCGCAGCTGGACGCATCCGTGTTTTCAATCATGTGAGTGATGTCTCTTTCTTTCCTTCTTGTTTATTATGTGGCTTTTTGACAGCCTGAACACGATTGCGACATGCTATATGATACCCAGTGGGATAGGTGCTGCGACAAGGTACTTGTAAACAAAGCCCCTCGTTTATATTCTAAGGAGAACATTCATATCGTCTGCAGCACAAGAGTTGCCAACGAACTCGGGGCTGGGCGTGCTGCTCCAGCTCGCTTTGCATTTCTCGTATCCATGGGACTTGCAGTGATGGATGCAGTTATTATCTCTCTAATAATCGTCTCGTTGCGCAACGTTCTCGGGAAAGCCTACAGTAACGAAGCAGAGGTGGTGGCAGAGGTTGCAGAAATGGTTCCTCTACTTGCTGCTGTTATCGTCATGGACGCATTGCAAGGCGTCACCTCAGGTACCTTTGAAGCATTTCAATTTTTCGAAGTTTTCTTGGGGCCTTCTATGTTCTTCAGGAGTAGCAAGGGGATGCGGCTGGCAAGCACTCGCTGCATTTGTAAACCTGGGGGCCTATTACGCGGTTGGACTGCCATTGGGGTGCACTCTGGCATTCCACTTTGGACTCCAGGGAAAGGTAAACTTATTGGGCTGATCAAGCGTATATAATTGTGTGCACGTTTATCTTTGGTACAGGGGTTTTTGATTGGTCTCCTGTGTGGAGTCACCCTTCAGGCGACATTTCTCTTGCTTATTTCTGTTTTGACAAACTGGACACAGATGGTATTACTTGGTTTCCTTGTTTTTTCTTTTTCCTGTTACTAATGTGTTGCAATCCAGGCGGAAGCAGCCATCAAAAGAGTGGAAGCTCAAGAAATTATGAGGTTGTTAGAATAACTCTACTTTATTGTTTTAGAATTTGTGTATATTAGAAAATCTAGAAGTTGTCTTCCAGATTAAAACTGTTAAAATTATTTTTAAATTAAAGTTAAATATAGTTAATTTTCTTAACTCTGGTTTAATATTAGTTTTGAGTAAACTAAAATAATAAGAAAAATTATTTATGTTAATAATATTATTAGTATGTTGTAACGAAATATATATATATATATATATATATATATATATATATATATATATATATATATATATATATATATATATATATATATATATATATATATATATATCTCTAGCGAGGTATGGATTAATAGAAATTAAGATTCAGAGATGTTTTAATTAAAAATAATATATAGAGCGTCTGTAAACTCTTTCGTGTGATGGAGTAAAAGACTTGTAAAAAACATGCTAGTAATTTTTAAAGATTGCCAATCAAGTCTATCTATACTATTTATAATTTGTTTATGATGAATAATAAGATTGTGCATAAAGATTTTGCGAGTGTGTCTCTAGCCCTCTCGCTCCCTTTGTCCTTGACAAGCATTTAATCTGACATTCTTGAACTTGAGACAATTTTTTAAAAAAAATTAAATATAATACTGACATCATTAATCATGTCCAATTAGAGCACTATTGGTGCGGTAGATAAACAAAATTAAAACAAATCTCACCAAAAAAAAAGGAGAGTTCTTGTCTTGAATTACATAAACATACCTTTAAAGACAATTTACCATAAGCTTTTGTTGCTATATATTGTTATTGCATTAACAAATGAGGGCTCTATAACTCTAACCTATAAGTTACTACATCACACATATATATAGAGGTGTCTTCTAACTTTGGAAGAATCGCTTAGATGATCATTGTAGTCTATCAAGAAATGCCTAAAAGAGCAAGGAAGACAAAAGCATAACACCTTTTAGAAATGCATAAAATATAAGAATTTTTCAAAGAAGCCATAGAAGGACCACAATTGAAATGGTTGTGCACATGCTAAAGAACAAGAAGACACACACTACAATGTTATAGTTATGAGCTTATGTAAAGGATTGCTGATAAAAGGTTTTATTTTCTAAAACAAATATAATCAAGTAACCAATTTCATCATAACTTTCCACAACTTAGAAAAGTATTTAAAAATTTTGAGGCAATTTAGTTCCTTTTCCATGCTCCTCTCCTAGAAGAACTTTCCAGCTCCCTGACAAATATTAATTTCTCTCCACAATACCAAACCCATCTTTGTCTAGTATCAATGACTTCATATACTATATCTTTGCAAGCTTGTTCCTCATGATTTATGCCCCTAGAATCCATCCTTACAAAAATTTAGCATTGCATTGATAACCTACTAGAAATTAAAGAGCTTCTTCCAATGTCTTTGAAATTTGAGTCATTTTAATCTTTAAGATTTGTCCTCTTTTCATCTCTAACTCAAGAGTCAAGACAGTAGCTTCAAGGATTGGTGGTAAAGAGGTAGTAGGAATTACACGTAGAAATACACATTAGTTCCTACTAGATTTTAAAGATATTGAAGTTAAGAATAAAAAAACAAACTAGAAAGCTTTCCAACTTACTGTCTCAAATATATTTAAGTTTACAATTGTTATTGTTAGCTTATAACTCATTGGGAGTATGATCTTTATTCTAACAGGAATTTCTTGTCACCACCACAATAATTTTACACTGTATATTTATGCTGTAAAGAATGTTCTTTATTTGAATTCTATAAAAATACATTTGCACTCCTAGAAGAAATTTGTTCTAAGCACTATAATACTTTAGAGACTCCACTTACAAAAAGGCAACTTTACTAGGTTTTCTTTATAAAAGATTAATGGTAATTTTCTTTATAAGTTCTTTTACATTTTTAGAAAGCTTGACTAATAGGTTCATGTTACTATTGATGAGCGCTTTATTTACAGCATTAAAGATTTTTATTTATATACCAAGTCTAAGTGATGAGAGCTAGTTCTTGAATGACATGGATCCTACAAGTTTGCTTATATGACAAAATTAGATTTGATCATATCAACATTAAAAAGTAGAGCTTCATACTTAAACAATAGCTAATATTTAGAAAAACAGATTGATTATAAAAGAATAGCTTGTAGAATTCTTTCACCTTGTTGTTGAGTTTGTTTTTCAAGATGTCAAGTGACTGCAAACTTTTGCATTTTTAATGAAGGAAATCAATGAAATTAAAGTAGCTGAAGTTTTGGATTTGTATCTTTTAAATTAGCTAAAAACCCAATTTACTTTCTTAAAATTCTCAAGCCTAGCAAATATTGTAAAATAATAAACCTAAGAGGAAAAATTGCCTTACCTCCAGAATCTAGATTTCTTTCATGAAAGACATAAACAAATCTTTAAAATAATAGTTCAAGATAGCCAAGACATAACTCACATAATGCTTTTTATTGTCAATGAAAGGCTTAACAACCTGGAAAGACTGCTGAAAGTCATACTCTTAGCAAAACAAAAGGAATTTTTACTTAGATTGAAAAAGAAACAAAATCTCATTAGTTTATAAGTTGGCTTTAACTTTTTTTTACATGTCCCGCATCCTAGCAAATTGAAAAAATTGTGAATTGTTAGCAAGATAGAGTTATTGTCATGAAATTACCCTTTAATGGATATGTGTTGCATTGTTTGTCACCATTCTAGAACTTGTTCAGTCGTTTAGCTCATTGCTTTATAAGTCGATAAAACACTTAGCCTTACTCACTATATAAAACTTAATCTTGCAATCAACATTCTATTTCATTTAGTGCATAAGAAAACCAATTAAAGAATCAATTTATACAAACCATACAAAAAAATTGTTCACACATTTTAAAGAGATGCTTTTGTTGAGAAAATATATTGGAGTGAAAATATCATAATTGTGCTTCTTAAGATTAAAAAATACACCAAACAATACTACCTTTCCTCGTTCTAGGAACACATAAAACTATCATAATTATTTTTGGCATAACTAAGTAATTTACATATATATTATAAGAATTTATATAATTTGAAAATAAATATTTATATTCTTTTTCTGTGAATTGATAAAATTTTAAAAATTAAGTAAAATTTCTTTATATAATTTCGCAAATTAATTCAAATTATTAATCAATTTATTAGAAAAATAATTAATAAATGAAATGAAATATTACATGTTACTAAGGAAGTGCTATAAATCATTTATACACTTCAATATAAGGAATTTGAAATCAACCTTAAGTTTGTTAAAATGAATTTGCAAACCATTACAAAAAATGTGATACTTAAGATAAATTATATCTTTAGACCCAAATATTCATTTATACTGCTTCAACTTTAAATCAAATTCTCACAACCAATTTAACACCTTATGGATATTATGAACATGGTCCTCCCACATCCCTAATATATCATCAATGAAATTAGTAATCACCTTTGATATATTATAGAAAACCTCATCCATCATCCACTCAAAAGTTAATAGACAACTAAATAAAATCATTAAGACATAAACTAAATAATGTATAAAAAGGTATCTTTGGAATATCCTCCTTAACCATTAATATCTACTAATACCCAAAAGTGATATCTAACTTGGCAAACTAACAACTTTGCCTTAGATGATCCAAAAGATTGATAGTGTAAGGAAGAGGGTATATATTTGGGATAGTTACAGTTTAACAGATGTTAATTGATGCAAAATTGAATACTTACATTGCCTAAGGACTCCAAAGCTTTTATATAACCCCTTTTCTTAATATCTCTTTAATTAAGATCTTGATTTCCTTTAGTGATTAATGCCAAATAAGAATCTTGATCAAATAAGCATCTTTAGTTAGAATAAATCTTGGCCCTAAAAGATATGTCGAAGTCAAAAAGACCAACATACTCTTATAGCACAAAGATCTTCTAAGGATCTAAAAAGGATATAAAATAAAATTTATAATTATAAACATGTTTGTAATTTATAAACACAAGATTAATCTTATTTCATATCAACCTTCTTAAGATGCATATGCAGTGCAAAGCTATGTAATTTTTTGTGCCAAGCACACAGCATGCAGTACTCACCAGGGTCTGAGTCCTTGGAATGCACTCTCATTGAAATGGATGAGATTCTGTTGATAAGATTGCCTTCTCAACCATAAGCATGGCTCTCAAGCTGGTAAGCTCTTAGAAAGGTTTAGTTCTCACTTTCTTGGTTATTTGGTTTATGTATCTCTTGGCATCAGTACATCCAGGATTACAAAGCAGTCACTCAGGGGTGATCGATAAGAGGCCTGGTGCCAGTCCATCCAATCCTCAAGGCTTTGTTCTCTGAGACTACCTTTCATCATAAACTCCCAGAGAGTTTTGTTTCAAAAACAGCAGGAAAAATTACCAAGGCCATTTGATCTCTTTGTTTCGTTTATTCTCTTGGATTATATTCCACTGTTCCCAGGAAGAACAAAGGTTCTTGGGGTTGTTTGGTTTTATGGCATTCTTTTATAGATTTAAATATTTCTTCCTTTTGCCTTATTTTTTTAAATTTCTAAAACTCGAAAACCTTTTGGGTTAAACTCTGCCGCGTGGCATTTTGGACGGTGTAGATTAAGGGCCATGTCCATCTTCCCTTGAAATTGGCATTTGCTTCGACTCAAATCAGGGTAAAGGATGATGGTGAGCACTTTTGTGGAGATGCACGGCGGTATGCCAGTCATCAAGGAGCTGATAGTTGACAATGACGAGCTTATGGATTCTTTGGCCGAAGCTGGCGAGGCAAGCAAGAAAAGAGAGCGCAAGGAGGAAGACAAAGGTGGGCAACCCCTCAAGAAGGTAAGGAAAGATGACATCCAAGAGGAACCCTGCAAGGATCAAGGGCAAACGATGGCGAGTACTTTTGTGGAGATGCACGGCGGTATGCCCATCATCAAGGAGCTGCTAGTTGACAACGACGAGCTCATGGAGGCTTTGGCCGAAGCTGGCAAGGCAAGTAAGAAAAGGCAGCGCAAGGAGGACTGCAAAGATGGCCAACCCCTCAAGATGGTAAAGAGAGATGATGCCCGAGAGGAACCCTGCAAGGATCAAGGCAAGTCCAGGGGTCCTATAATCGTGAGGATCAAGCTGCACAAGAAGGGAGATGCAGT